ACAACTAAAAATAATTTGTAAAACACCCTTTATCCAGTATTTTGAAGGAAAATGAAAACATTTATGATATGACAAATTTTAAGAAGGCAACATTCCAGTGGTTTTCTGCTCAAGACAGAGAGATTGATTCATTCATCCATTAATCCAATGAATTATGTATCTGGTCATATTGTGATGAGTAAGACATACTACCTACACTCGAAGTACTCAGCCTAATAATAATCACTGCATATTTAGATAATTTTAAAAAGTTATTTTGGTCTTTGGATCACACTTGGCTGCAGCCAGGGGCAACTCCTAGTTCTGGATTCAAGGATAACTCCTGGCAGTCTTCAGAGGCCCGCGTGGGGCCAGAGCCTCAAGCTGAGCCTCCCCCACACAGAGTGTGTGGTCCAATCCTTTGAACTATCTTCCGGGCCACTATTTGGATCATTTTAATTAAATCTAATTCAGTAAGAGAAGAAATGCGCTGGAATTTATGAGAATATTTAGAAAAAATAGCCATGCCAGTTTTTCTTTTTTCTTTTACTGCTACCCCTGATAATGATTGAATCCAGGGATTCATACATGCAGAGTAAGAGTTCTGCTGCCAGGCTATACCAGTGGCCACCAAACCCAATTCAACCCAACCCAACCCAACCCAACACAACACAACACAACCCGGCTTAATGTGGTCAGAGAATGGGAGAAACTGTCATAGTTTTTCTGGAGCTGGTTACATTTTTTTTTTAATAAATTGATTTTATTTAGAAGACATGAGCAAGGAGAGAGCCAGGGAATCCCATAAAATACAGAAGAGAAATTCTGTACTACAAGCTGGGATGTGGGCAAATTCACCACAATGGAGTGTGACTGATTTGGGTTTTTTAATTACTTTTTATAGTTTTGGTTCTGGGCCATGCCTGGCTTTGGGCTAGTATGCATTCTGGTTCTCTGTAAGAGCCAGTCAGAGGGGAGGTAGCTTGTGGGTCATTGAAAGGAAGAAAGGAACAAGGCAAGTGTCAGATCACACTTCTGGTGTCAGGATGTTCTGATCCTTGATTGTTGGATCCATCTCAGTTTATCTCGTAAGTATGGAGTGCCCTGAAGAATTACATAATGTACTTAACACTAGTGCCTAGCACATAGTGCTATGTCAATGTTTGCTATATTGTCCGAGTTTCCAGGTAAAGCTACATGGACTTCTAAGAAACCATTAATTTAAGATCAAACCATTGAGTGAAGGAATACATCTTATATATGAGAAAATCTGAACCATAAAATAGATCCCTGTCCTTCACCCACCCTTGCTCTGAGTTCTGATTAAAATAGAGTCCTCGGGACTGGAGCAATAGCACAGCGGGTAGGGCACTTGCCTTGCACACGACTGACCTGGGTTCAATCCCCAGCATCCCATATGGTCCCCTGAGCACCACCAGAGGTAATTCCTGAGTGCAGAGCCAGGAATAACCCCTGTGCATCACCGGGTGTGACCCCCCTCCCAAAAAAATATAGAGTCCTCAAGGGGCTGGAGTGACAGCACGGGGTGGGGTGGGGGGTTGGGGAGGTAGGGCGTTTGCCTTGCACACAGCTGACCCAGGTTCAATGTTCAATTTCTAGCATCCCATATGGTCTCCCAAACACTGCCAGGAGTAATTCCTGAGTGCATGAGCCAGGAGTAACCCCTGTGCATCGCTGGGTGTGATCCAAAAAGCAAAAGCAAAAGCAAAAACAAAAGCAAAAAAAATAAAAAGTCCTCACTAGGGAAAGTAGGGAAAGTAGGATTGAATTACCAAACAAGGCAGAAAGAGCGAAAAGGAAAATGAACAGTAAAGGCATATGGATGATGAGGGCTAAGGGGTGGCGAATTTTAGCTGTGTTGTGTTTTGTTCATTCTGTATTTATTTGTTTGTTTGTGCTTCTGGCTCAATGCTCAGTGTTTGGTGCTGGTGGTTCTCAGAGAACCATGTAGGGGTACTTGGATAAAACCGAGAGTTCCAGACTGCCAAGCATGTGTTTACTCTCTCCAACTATTTTTTTTCCCTTTTCCTTCTCCTACTTCTTCTATGTTGGTTTTGGGTTACACCTGTTAGTGCTCAGGGGGCTCGAGGGGCCATGTGGTGCTAAACCAGGGACCACCAAATGCTGGGCATATGTACCCCCGTACTAGGAAGTAACCTCTGTATTGTCTCTTGGGATCCTGGTTTGTTCATTTTTAGTTTTTATTTTTTGGATCATGCATGGTGGTATTTAGGGCTTTCTCCTAGATCTGTGCATAGGGATCACTACTGGAGTTGTTCCTTGGACCTTATGGGGTGCCAGAGACCAAACCCTGGTTGGCTACATGCATGGCAAACATCCTGCCCATTCTACTATTTCTCCTGCCCAGGTTTGTTGTTGTTCTTTTTTTTTTTTTTTCTTTTTGGGTGACACCTGGTGATGCACAGTGGTTACTCCTGGCTTTGCACTCAGGAATTACTCCTGGAGGTGCTCAAGGGATCATATGGGATGCTGGGAATTGAACCCGGGTTGGCTGCGTGCAAGGCAAACACCCTACCCGCTGCGCTATTGCTCCAGCCCTCGTTTGTTCATTTTTATTTTATTTTTATTTTATTATTTTTTTTCTTTTTGGGTCACACCCGGTGATGCACAGGGGTTACTTCTGACTCTGTACTCAGGAGTTACTCCTGGAGGTGCTCAGGGGACCATATGGAATGCTGGGAATCGAACCCAGGTGGGCCGCGTGTAAGGCAAACACCCTACCCGCTGTGCTATCTCTCCAGCCCCTGGTTTGTTCATTTTTATTTTTATTTATTTATTTATTTTTTTGCTTTTTGGATCACACCCAGCAACGCTCAGGGATAACTCCTGGCTCTGCACTCAGGGATAACTCCTGGCTCTGCACTCAGGAATTATTCCTGGCAGTGCTTAGGGGACCATATGTGATGCTGGGAATCGAACCTGGGTTGGCTGTGTACAAGGCAAACGCCCTACCCGCCCCAGACCCGGTTTGTTCATTTTTTAAAGTGAGGAAAGTTAATAGGACAATCAAGAAAAAATAATCCAATGTTGCACTGTTTTTGTGGAGGGATTCTGAAACTTGTTTCATATGATCTGTTTTGAAGATCAAGACAAAGAGGAGAGGCCCAGAATGCAGCTTAGTGATAAAGCACATGCCTTGTATGTATGTGGCCCTGGGTTCCTTTCCCACCCCCTCCCTTTCCAAAAAGAGAAAAGAAAAATAAACAATAATTGAAAAATGAATCATATAAACTTCCAGGGAGATAGCCCAAAGGGCTGGAGCACATACTTTGCATGCTGGAGTCTCGGATTCGATCCCTAGTACCCTGTGGTCCTCAGAGCACTGAACTGGGAGTAGCCTCTGAGAACCGCAGAATGTGGTTCAAAACATCAAAATTAAACTTCTAGTGGCAGAGAGCTTGCCTTTTAAGTGTGGGTTCCACAGGACCAGTAAATCATAAACTTCTTGGTCTATACCTCGGATGTTTTGCTGGTGTTTTTTTGGTTTTTTTTTTCCACTTGGAAAATGTAACTATCATTGCTCTATTGTTTGTGGAGATTGAGAAATGAAAGGCCCAACTCTAGGTTGATATATATATTTTTTCCCCCTAGGTTGATATGACCGTCCTTTCCTGCTTTTTTTTTTTTTTTTTTTTTTTTTTTGGTGGGGAGGTCACACTAAGCGTTGTTCAGAATTTACTCCTGACTTTGCACTCAGGGATCACTCTTGGCAGGCATGGGGGCCCATATGGGATACCAGGGATCAAATCCAGCTCAGCCACCCACAAGAAAAGTGGCCTTCTACTTTCTGGCCCCGCCTCTTACTTTTTCCTGAGACCTCAACCCTAATGAAAATGCTTTCAAGGTTCAAGGTGATAGCTCAAAGGCCAGCACTCTTGCTTTGCATGCAGAAGGCACCATTTCATCCCTGACAGGGTCCTCCAGCATCACTGGGAGCGACTCTGGAACAAGGTACTTAGGAGTGGCCCTGAGTACCATTGAATGTAGCCCCAAAGCAAAAAGTGCTTTCAATACATATCTGATAAAAGCAACATTTATTCCTATGCATTTTATACACTCAACTGAAAGAAGGATTATTAACCTTATTTCACGAGTGGAGTTAGCACCTGGTAATCTGGCTTCAGAGACCAATTTTTTTTTTTTCTTTTTGGGTCACACCCGGCGATGCACAGGGGTTATTGGGTTATTCCTGGCTCATGGACTCAGGAATTACTCCTGGCGGTGCTCGGGGGACCATATGGGATGCTGGGAATCGAACCCGGGTCGGCTGCGTGCAAGGCAAACAACCCTACCCGCTGTGCTATCACTCCAGCCCCTGGAGACCAAATTTTTAACTCTTTTTTGCAACTTGCTGCTGGACAGACCTGGGTCACTTTTCCGTCCAGATTCTGGAACAAGCCAAAACTCATTCACCTTTCTCTTGAGAAACGCTTTCAACTGCTTTCTGTCGCCACTACTCTCACCTCCGTGACCAAGCCAAGGTGATTTATTTCACCCAGATGGAAGGAGCCCAGTTCTTTCTTTCAGATCGGCGAACTTTCACCTTGGCCAAACAGCGAGGCTGCACCAGAGTCTATTTTATTGGCTGCTGGGGGAACCCTGTCTTTCGAGTAGCGAGCAGCAGAGTGGGTACTAAAAAACACAGGCCCCCCACGAACTCCTGCGAGCGAGCACGTTAGCTGGACAGCCGATACCCTGCTGGAAGCAAATGATTGGTGTGAGAGCCCTGGACGTTGAGACTGGTGCCACGGGGGGCGGGCTGAGCAAGCTCGCAGGAGACCCGACGGAACAGCAGGCGTGCCGCCGCACCGCGCAGGCGCAGCCAGCGGGACGCAGAGGGCGGGGCGGTGCAGGAAGGGGCGGGGCCCGGAGCCGGCCCGGCCGCTCCTCGCCCCTCCCCCTCCGCGCTCCGGCCCGGCCCTCGCCCCGCCCCTCCGGCCCAGCCCGGCGGCTCCGCCCCTGGGTGACGTCACTGGCCAGGCCAGCCGGCGCCATTTTGAAAGTGGAGTCGCCTGCCCCTGCCGCCGCCGTCGCTGCCGGAGAAAAGAGCCTGAGCGGGGAAGCCCCAGAGTGAAATCTACCATCCTGCCGGCTGGTCTGCTCGCCCCTCCTCCCCTCTGCCCGCGCCCCCGCCCCCTCCCCCCGTGGGTGCCATCCGCCGCCATCCGCCCTCTCGACCCCCCCCATCCCCAGGTGAGGGGGGTGAGTTCAGGAAGCAGAGACCCCGAGGAAGGCGGCAGGGTCACCATTTGCAGCGCAACATGGCAGGTAAGGCAGAAACCCGCCGCGCCGCCTGACGAGGCATCGCTTCCTTCCTCCCTGCCTCCATCACCCCCTAGCGACCGCCTGTCGGTCTCGTGGAGCCGCGGGGCGCCCCCCCCGGGGTTTCTGGGAATTGGTCAAGTGGGGGGGGGTGGGGGTGGGGAGGGCCCGGGGCGGGGGCGAGGGGTCGCGGGGGGCGCGGGAGGGCCGGAGAGGAGGAGGGCCGGGACCTTGGCACGGGTGGGGGTGGGGTGTGTGCCGGCGTGGGTGGGGCGGGGTGGGGGCGAGTGCAGATTTGTCTCCAGCCCTGGGCCCACTGTAACCTCCGCGCCCCAACCCTCCCGGCCCTTTTTTTTTTTTTTTTGCGGTTCTTTTTCATTTAATTCCTATTTTTTTCTCCCTTTTGCTGCAACCTTTTTTTTTGGGGGGGGTGAATGTTTTAATGCATATTCTGCATGGAGAAGGCAGAGAGTGCTTTCCAAGTTCAAATGAAATTTTAAGTTAAAATACAATGGGTACGTTTGTGTATTCCGTCCCTCCCTCCCCCCGCCCGCGATGGGTACGTAGAATTTGAAGACTAGAAGCCAACATTTTTTTTTTTTAATTCGGAACCATCCCTCTTTTCCTCCAAAGCGGTGCAGGGCCTTTATCAGACAGCAAGTTGCATGAAAAAGAAAAATGTGATTTAAACTTTGCGTTTCGCATGTTCGCCTTAGTGCAGATGTCCTTTTCCCAAAAGGGTTTCATAGAGTTAGTTAAAATAGTTGTGGAGTTCAGAGATATAAATAGCCAAGGGGAGCAGGGCTTAGGTAAGAGCTGGTGGGGGAAGAGGATGCACCGGGAAATCCAGGTTGTATCTTTGGACGAGAAACGGGGATGGAGAGAGAAAGCTGTTGAGTGGCTGTCGGGACTATTTTGGTACATTTTGCTGTTGCTGGTTGTCTTATTCCCCCACTTCATCCAAGAATCCTAGGTTCAAAATTCAGACTCTGTCTACAGATCCAGGGCATTTGCTCCTCCGTGTCTGGAAGAGGAGAAGCAGCGTTCAGAGGCTGAACCGGTTTTCTGTGCTTTTGCCCCCAATGCTTAGGTTGAGCCCTTGGAAGTTAAGATGCTGGATTGACTTAATACTGTTTGCTGTCAACAAGTTGCTCTTTGGCATTGTCGGATAAATAATTGAAATGGGTTTTGTACATGCCAGGTCAGACTAGCAAAACTTTTTTGCCCAAGTCCTTTGGTTTCTGAGGGATCAGGTGAAGGTGGAAGACAGAACTAGCTTCATTTGACAGCTTGCATCGGCTTTCGTTTTGATTTCTTTCCCTCTGTCTGGAGCCCGTGATTTAATGGCATTTCTTCAGGAGATGCAGAGAAGTGGACGGTGTTAGTGATAGGATTTGTGTGAATCATCACCCCTTGCGCAGGCAGTAATACTTCTGAAGTTTGCTCTCCAGTCTGTGGTTTATGGTGGTTTCACTTAAAGGCTTTCTGTACACTTAAAGCACAACTCCTTAATTTTGTTCTTTTCTTTTTCTGTAGGTCTTGAAGGTAGGGCTCTTTACTCTAATGTAAGGCTTTCAATATAAGGCTTTACTGTATTGAGGGAAAGGGAAAAAAAAGGAAGAAAAGTTTCTGGACACATGTACAATGTTGATGACACTGCATGCCCTCAAGACTTTAATATCTGGAATGTCCTTTTCTCTTCATTAGAGAAAAGGCAATACTATCTATGGGGGACTAACTTTTCCAAATTACTACTGCTCTGGGGTGGTGGTTGTATGTGTGGGCAGTACTAGGCTATTAGTACCATACCAACCATGGATACCATCTCGGTGTTTACGAGAGTCAACATGAATAGAACTCAGTTTTAATTGGTATGTTTTCTTTTTCTAGGAGCTGGAGGAGGGAATGATATTCAGTGGTGTTTTTCTCAGGTGAAAGGAGCAGTAGATGATGATGTAGCAGAAGGTAAGAAAGCATGTAATATAAAATTTGTGTATATGATTTATTTTCAAAATCTTGATTTCTGAAAGATTTGCTTGCAGCTCAATTGCTATTAGAACATTTTGTGGTGGTGTCCAAGTGGTGGAAGAACACCACTTAAAAAAAATCATCTTTCTGGAAAATAGTCTTAAATCTCTCTCATTATTTGTACTTGTTTTACTATTTTTCCTTGAGTTGAAAGAACGTTGGATGATGAGATACATGTATCTATGTAAAGCCATTAGAAGAAAAATCTAAGATCATGTGATAGTTTCCTTGCTATATAAGTTCCATGTATGAATGTATTTTCAGGTGTGTACAGTTTTTAAATGAATTGAAATAGGTGCAAGTATTGTATATCTCAGTGTTCTTTACAGCAGATTTTTACTTCTGAGGGAAAATTTTTGGTGCTTCTTTTTTTAACTCTTTCACTTTGAGAGTATTGTGTTGATTGACATTTTCTTTGAAGAAGTGGCTTAAATGATGCAGTTTGTCAAACACTAATTAGGTGCAAAGAAAATAACATGCTATGGTTATGTGAGTTGTCTTCTGGGTAGGTTGTTTTGTTGTTAGAAATTAGATTTGATCAGTTGTCTTAATTTACTATTCCAAGATTTATTAATACAGTTCAGAGTTTAACATTTGAACATTTTAAGGATCTACACTTTTGAACTTAGGTGTGTGTTATTTCCCATAGAGTAGTGCTATTTTACTGTTCAGAAATATTAAGGTTTATTACTATTTCGTGTCAGGGATTGCAGTAGGAATCTTCCAACAAAAGATCGAAACAGATACTTTGAATTTAACAGCTTTGTCTAGTGAAAACTTACAAAAGTGTTTCTCTAGCTTGTATTGTCTTCACATTAAGATTTTTGTTTCTGACTTTCTAGAGCAATGTTTTGGGAGTTTTCCAGGTGATAGTAGGATGATGGCCTTGTGTAGAGCAAGTAGAATAGAGTATTTGAGCTTGCTGGATTTGCTGTGTCAGACAAGTCATTCTTAGTCAAATATCTAATCAGAACTTGGTGACACCAGTGGGGTAACTGACATCTATTATATTTGTGAGTCTTTTTGTTTGTTTTTGGGCCACACCCAGTGGTGCTCAGGACTTACTCCTGTCTCTGCTCTAGGGTCACTCCTGGCAGGACTCATGGGATCATACGGGATGCTGGGGATTGAACCTGGGTTGGCTCTATACAAGGCATGCAGCGTACCCCTGTGCTGTGGCACCAGCACTATATTTGAATCTCTAAATAGAGTATCTTCATGTTTTTTTCTGAGCTTATACAAGTTTAGAGACTTGCTATTGGTTATACGTTGCAAATCAAAGTGTCTTGTTGATTCTTGCGGTGTTTCACATAGAGAAATAAGCCCTAAGTTCTAGGGAGGAGTCATGTGTTACTCATTTTGTAACTTGATTACCTGTTGAATAGTAGGCAGTCAAATATTGGATCACTGGTTCTGTGCTGTTGTGTAATACTTCACTAAATTATGAAAGTGCTGTATACTAGAAAAACATTCCTTACTTGAATTCCACTTGCTCTCTTTGTTTTACGTCTTTAAACTTCTTTTTGTTGTGGTGTTGCTTTGTGGGCACATTTGATGTTGTTCGGGGCTTACTTCTGGCTTCTGTGCTCAGGCATCACTCCAGCTCTGGGCAGGTACAGGGGGCATATGTGGGGCCCAGGGTGGAATATGGGTTAGTTGTATGCAAGACACGTGCCTTACCCACTGTACTATCTCACTGGCTCTCTGGCCCCTCCACTTACTCTTTATCAGAGTTCTCTTGGGTCCTCCTTAGTTCTCATCACTGAGGGCAGTGGCTCTCAAGAACACACTGCTCTGGATAATCTCACATCTTGTTCAGTGATAGGCAGATGGTCACGTGGTATTTACTTAAAAAGACATTGCCTACCAGAATCAAATGGTAGCGTATGATACATATGATGGATCAGTTTTGAGTCTCTTCTGTTAATAATAGCTGCATCTTGCTACTTAAGTAAGTAACCTTTAAATAATATTCTTTTGTGGTTTTTGGAATAGTATAGAACATATTCAAAACATCTTAACCTATGGAGGCCTAGCTCTGGTTACTCCTGGCTCGACACTCAGGAATTTTTCCTGGTGTATTTGGGCGCCCATATGGGATGATGGGGATTGAACCCAGATTGGCTGCATGTAAGGCAAGCACCCATCTTGCTGTATTGTACTGTCTTGGACCCCCATAACTATTTTAATTAACAATGTGACTTGTTCTGTCATCTAAACAACTGTGTTATGTGTAAGTTTTCAATTTCCAAAAAATCCTCCTTGTTTGGGGCCACACCTGGAGGTGCTCAGACATTTAGTCCTGGCTCTGCATTCGGGAATTGTTTCTGATGTCCTGGGGGATCATCATACAGGCTGCTGGGGATTGAATCTGGGTCAGTTGCATGCAAAGCAAATGCCCTACCCACTGTACTATCACTCTGGCCCCCCAGATACCCTTCTTTTTAATTTTTTTAATGTGCTGTAATTTGCATATTACAGTCTAGCATTTTTTTTTGGTAAGGAAAGATTTGTATTTCAGAAGTACCACAAGATTATTAATGCCTCTTTTTCCCTTGGTTTGGACCACAGTCTCGGTTGTATCTAGGTCATCCTTTAGCTTAGCTTGCCTATTTTCTGTTAATTATACATCCCAGTTTCTTCCCTATCAAAGGCTTCACTTTGTCTCTCCCCTCCTACAGACAGTTGGCTGTCATAGTACACCACTTTGCTTCTGTGATGTCGGCTTGACTCTTTACATATGTTCTTTCACCTTAATTCAGGTCCTCAAGATCTCAGGATTGTTTTTTAATTGAGTATGTACTTCTTGTCCTGTCCTAAGTTAAATGCAATTTGTTTCATTTTCCTTAGAAATCTTCACTGGGTTTCTCTATTCACTGGATTATATGTTGAATCCATCAGTATGAATTCGTTCAGTTAATTCATCAGTATTAGTTTATTTGCTAGTACGGATTTTGACAAGTTCTGTATACACTTGGTGTTTTTGTGCTTTTGTTTGTTTGTTTGTTTTTGCTGTTCCAACTCTGGAATGCTTGAATGTGTTCCCACAGTTTCTATGAATTCAGAATTCTATTCATCCTTCGAGTCACAGCTTTAACTTTCTTTTAAACTTATTTCCCTTTTTGGGAAAATACTTATTTTTAATATATTCCATTATACACTTTTATTGACAACCTATTTAGTACACCTAATATGGCTCTTCCACTGCAAGCTTAGAGCAGGGCATCCCAAATATGCTTAGAGGAGAACCTGACACACAAGAAGTATTTGCTGGATGAGTGAATGCATGTGTTACTATTACTAGGTTATGAAAGGGGAAAGAGCAGATGAACAAATGGGAGAATGAGTGAAATACACTTTCCAGCAATCATGCATTTATTGATTTGGCAGGCTCTGCAACTGGATTAAAAATAAACAGGTATCATAGAAGAAGAGAGACCCTGGGTTATTGTGTTAGTGGCCAGCATATCAATTAATACATGTTGATTTGGATCCTCTTGGATTAATGTGTGTTTAGCCACAAGAGATGACAGAACTGCATTATTTTCTATATGATACTGATGTCAGTTCTCAGAAATTTCATAAAGAGAAACATTCCAGTATTATTGGTGCTACTAATGTAAATTGAGATGTTTGGCATCAGATGGACTTTATAAAAATGAGTCTTTAGGGATGCAGCGATAGGACAGCAGGGAGGGTGTTTGCCTTGCATGTGGCTGACCCAGGTTTAATCCCTGGCATCCCATATGTTCCCTGCGTGTAGAGCCAGGAGTCTCCCTTGAGCATTGCCCGTGTGACCAAAAAGCAAAAAAAACAAAAAATAAAAGTGAATCTTTTTTGAACTTAGTCAAGGATCAGGATTTTTTGTTAAGTAAGAACATTGCAGAACTTAGAATTTTGCCTTTTGACCAAACATTGTCCTTTGGGCCATGTAGGCTCTTCCAAGACATGTAGGGCCTATATTGGAATATTTGTTTATTGGGAGAAAAAATGTTTTAATATATGGAGAAATCACTTCACTGGAACAAATACTAAAGTAACTGAAACTGTGCTAAAAGGGAAGGGGCCATACATGATGAAGAAGGGCAATAAACCACATCCTAGAAATCAAAGACTGATCTGTTCTTGGTTTTTTGTTTTTTTTTTTTCTTTCCTTTCCCACGCCTATAGAAGTCATCTAAAACTATTTAAGTGCTATTTTTAAAATCAGATCTTCTGTTTTAACTTAGTAATATAGTGTCATGTAGGTTTCAGGTAGAAATCATTAACAGACTGCTTCTGCATAATGAATGCTACATTATATTCACACCAGAAATCTAATCTTTGTATGCTGGGCTGTTCTTCACACAGGTCTCTCCAGACCTCTTAAGTGGCTACCTTTCTGTAGCCACTTGTCTGGGAGAGACATTAAAGTACATAATTCTTTATTATTCAGATACTCTTGCATCATGCAGTTTTCAGTTTTAGTCTTAGTAATAACATCTTATCATTCTGTCTTTTAGTCTTTCTTTATTGGTAGATTTTCTTGCCACTAAGACCAAGACTGCTGCTAGCTACATAGTTTGAATTTTCCTCGGTCCTTGTTGTCATTTTGGGGAAGTTAATCTATACATATCCCCTCCCCTAAATGGAGGATAACTATAAAACCTGGATTATAATGTTTTGATGATTGAGTTAATGATATGTGCAGAATAGAAACCCAGCATACAGTAAGAGATTTAGGAGATTTTATTATTACTTGAATGTATGTATGTATGTGATAAGTAAGGCAGAGCTGAAGGATAAAGAAATTGGGTAAAACTAAAGAAAATGTATGTAATAGTATGTAATAGAAGCTATATAGGGCCTGGAGCAGTAGAACAGTGGGTAGGGCATTTGCCCTGTATGCGCCGACCTGAGTTTGATCCCTGGTATCTCATGGTCCCCCTTACTGCCAG